TCACACACGCACCCTGACACTGACTGTCTCTCTCTCTCACACACACTGACAGTGACTCTGTCACGCGGACCTGCATGCGCACACACCCTGACACTGACTGTCTCACACACACACACCCCGAAGCTTGACAGTGACTCAATTGAGTTAATTAACAATTGAATGCATACTGTCCGGGTGCCTATCAGCCTGGTATAGCAACTGCTTTGTCCAGGACTGTAAGAAACTCCAGAAGGTGGTGTGCACAGCAGCCAACCTTCCATCCATGGAGACAACAAGGTGCAGGGCTGGATGAACACAGCAGGCCAAGCAGCATCATAGGAGCAGAGAGGCTGACGTTTCGGGCCTAGACCCTTCATCAGACCCTTCCATCCATGGACTCCATTTACACGGCTCGCTGCCACAGAAAGGTTGCCAACATCATCAAAGACCCATCATACCCCGGTGATGATCTCCTACAGAAGGTAGAAGGCAGAAAGTACAGAAACCTGAACACAAGCACGAGCAGGTTCAGGAACAGCTTCTTCCCGGCTATTATCAGACTGTTGAACGGACTCTCTAGCCTCAAATTATGCTGATTTTTCTAACCTTGATCTCGCCTAGCACACACCGTGTGCAATGTAACCTGTATGCCTTTGTCCAAGTCTTTTTGATCTGTACATCCTTGCTTACTATGATCTGCTTCTACTGCTTGTAAGCAAAGCTTTTCACTGTACTTCGGTACATGTGACAATAAATCAATTAATTAATCAAACACTGACTGTCTCTCACACACCCTCCTGACCCTGACTCTCGCACACACACATCCCCTGACACTGACTCTCAAATCCCTCCCCTCTGTCACAGTCTCACTTGCCCTGTCAGTGTCGTACATGTGCCATATTCAGACTGGGTACAGAGTGTATGCCTCTGTGTGTGTGTGAGAGTGAGTGAGTTAGTCGGATTTGTTGTTGGAACTCCTCTGCTTCGCGTATTCTTTTTCTTCCTTTTTCCTTTTCTTTCTCTCTTACTCTTTCTTCTCTCTTCAAAACACTGGAGACAAATACTTCAGTGGCAGATGCTGGCAGCAAGTCCCCAGAGCAGCGAGCCCTGCAGCAGCATGTGGGCTGCAAGCCCCAGAGCAGCGCGGGGAAGAGCTCCACAGCAGCACGTAGGGAAGCAGCCCCGGAACATTGTTCAGACAGCATGTCCCGGGGGATAGCAGTAAGATCGGGATCAGGCAGCGTGTCCCGGGGGCCAGCAGTGAGAGCGGG